GTGTAGTGTGTAGTTCTGGGGGGGCGTTCGATTCCAGTTTTGGATAGTCTGGCGTGGTTTCGTTCCATTTCAAACAGCTGATTGACGCTCGGCGTAACCTTGGCGCACTGCCACTCCAACATCCAATCCCAGAGCTTGAAGATTAATCACAGGGACTGTAGTCCTAAACGATAGCTGGGGATTATGGGTAGTGTAGTGTCTTCGGCCATCCTAAACTCCTAGAGGCCTACGTCTGTTTCCGGTTATTTTTATTTTGAAATTCAGTTCCTGACGGACGCCAAAAAAGCCAGAGATTATGGAATTAAACCAATAAATAAAAGCAAGGATAATTGTGTGTTATTGGTGAGTAAATAACAGTGTGTTATTTTGAAAAGAATAACAAATTAGAAGGAAAAAAATATTGAAGAATACGGAAATCTGTATTTTTCAATATTTTTTTCCTTCTAATTTGTTATTCTTAAGGAGGAAGGAAAAAATATTGAAAAATACAGATTTCCGTATTCTGAGGCTCTGAGCCATTTATTTTCCTCACAGACGGCAACAAAAGTCTGAAATTATACGATTTAAAATAAAAACAATAATCGTGGCTTGATATTGAGTAAGAACATGTTTTTATGAACCACACAGCTTCAGGTCTTCCTCGACCAGACCGGACAAAAAGACGTGCTGCAGGCACGAAACACATTACCAGTAGAAATACATTGCTTTTAAAATCGTGCTGTGCAACACGAAAAAAAGTGAAAAATCGTGTTGGTGAACACGAAATGCAATGAGACTGGGTTGGACAGCACGGTCACATGACTTCACGTCACCACCGCTAAGCTGAAGGAGGCTAATGTTGGGCTATAAAGGAACTACAGCACGGTCACATGACTTCACGTCACCACGCTAAGCTAAAGGAGGCTAATGTTGGGCTATAAAGGAACTACAGCACGGTCACATGACTTCACGTCACCACTGCTAAGCTAAAGAAGGCTAATGGTGGCCTATAAAGGAACTACAGCATGGTCACATGACTTCACGTCACCATCACTAAGCTAAAGGAGGCTAATGTTGGGCTATAAAGGAACTACAGCACGGACACATGACTTCACGTCACCACCGCTAAGCTAAAGGTGGCTAATGTTGGGCTATGAAGGAACTACATTACGGTCACATGACTTCACGTCACCACCGCTAAGCTAAAGGTGGCTAATGTTGGGCTATGAAGGAACTAGAGCACGGTCACATGACTTCACGTCACCACCGCTAAGCTAAAGGAGGCTAATGTTGTGCTATAAAGGAACTACAGCACGGTCACATGACTTCACGTCACCACCGCTAAGCTAAAGGAGGCTAATGTTGGGCTATAAAGGAACTACAGCACGGTCACATGACTTCACGTCACCACCGCTAAGCTAAAGGAGGCTAATGTTGGGCTATAAAGGAACTACAGCACGGTCACATGACTTCACGTCACCATCACTAAGCTAAAGGAGGCTAATGTTGGGCTATGAAGGAACTACATTACGGTCACATGACTTCACGTCACCACCGCTAAGCTAAAGGTGGCTAATGTTGGGCTATGAAGGAACTACAGCACTGTCACATGACTTCACGTCACCACCGCTAAGCTAAAGGAGGCTAATGTTGTGCTATAAAGGAACTACAGCACGGTCACATGACTTCACGTCACCACCGCTAAGCTAAAGGAGGCTAATGTTGGGCTATAAAGGAACTACAGCACGGTCACATGACTTCACGTCACCACCGCTAAGCTAAAGGAGGCTAATGTTGGGCTGTAAAGGAACTACAGCACGGTCACATGACTTCACGTCACGACCGCTAAGCTAAAAGTGGCTAATGTTGGGCTATAAAGGAACTACAGCACGGTCACATGACTTCACGTCACCACGCTAAGCTAAAGGAGGCTAATGTTGGGCTATAAAGGAACTACAGCACGGTCACATGACTTCACGTCACCACTGCTAAGCTAAAGGCGGCTAATGTTGGGCTATAAAGGAACTACAGCACGGTCACATGACTTCACGTCACCACCGCTAAGCTAAAGGAGGCTAATGTTGGGCTGTAAAGGAACTACAGCACGGACACATGACTTCACGTCACCACCGCTAAGCTAAAGGTGGCTAATGTTGGGCTATGAAGGAACTACATTACGGTCACATGACTTCACGTCACCACCGCTAAGCTAAAGGTGGCTAATGTTGGGCTATGAAGGAACTAGAGCACGGTCACATGACTTCACGTCACCACCGCTAAGCTAAAGGAGGCTAATGTTGTGCTATAAAGGAACTACAGCACGGTCACATGACTTCACGTCACCACCGCTAAGCTAAAGGAGGCTAATGTTGGGCTATAAAGGAACTACAGCACGGTCACATGACTTCACGTCACCACTGCTAAGCTAAAGGTGGCTAATGGTGGGCTATAAAGTAGGGTGACCAGACGTCCCCGTTTTCCGGGGACAGTCCCCGTTTGTATTGGCCAATGTCCCCGGTTTTTAATATGCGTTAAAAACACATAGCAAGGTGAAATAAAAGGTTTCATGTCAGGAAACACTGGGTAAACAGACTGCGGTCGAGCCAGCCCCCACTTCGGAAAACACAGTCAAGCCAGCCCGCACGTTGTATTGCGGTGCGCGAATATCCTATGCATTACGGTAGAGGCCTGTAAAAACTGCCTTCAAAATAAAAGCGTTTACTCGGTCAATAAGAAATATAGGCTACCTAAAAAACACACCAAAACATATTCATATATACTGGAGCTTAAATTAAGAAATATGTCCTGTATAATGTGATCAATAATAATTTAAAACATACTACGTATAACTACCACATTATAACTGAGTGAATGTAAAATGTAAGGATACAGTTATGAAGACATATCTGACATTTCCACTGGGTGACTAATTTCAATTGATGTTGACACCATCTCACAACACTCCTAAAATAACTTTACTTTCTGAAGCACAATTTAAAATGTGTGCTGTTTAAAATCTCAAATTAGATCCATTGTCCATCTATATTTTGATTATTATTTAATGGAAACTGTCCATAATCAAAGAGTCATTCGAAGTCAATCAAATACTTATTTCACTTCGGGGTGATAGCAGGAGAACCCATCTAGTCAATCAGAGAGAATCTGGACAATCTGATGTAGAGTTTCAAAATAAAAGACCTTTGAAGTCTCATATATGAGCTATCGTCCTTCGGTTTTTATACAAGAATAAATAAAAAACTGTCAAATTATCAAAGACTTATTTCACTCCAGGGTGATAGCAGGACACCCCATCTAGTCACTCAGAGAGAATCTGGACAATCTGATGTAGAGTTTCAAAATAAATGACCTTTGAAGTCTCATATATGAGCTATCATCCTTCTGTTTGTATCCAACAGCTCAAATGTTCGAATTACATTAAACCATAATTGTCTGCCTTTTTTCTTTAACAGTGAAGAAAATTGGATATGTTAATGTATATTGACCGCAAAATGTCCCCGGTTTTAATTTTGAAAATCTGGTCACCTTACTATAAAGGAACTACAGCACGGTCACATGACTTCACGTCACCGCCGCTAAGCTAAAGGTGGCTAATGGTGGGCTATAAAGGAACTACAGCACGGTCACATGACTTCACTTCACCACCGCTAAGCTAAAGGTGGCTAATGTTGGGCTATAGAGGAACTACAGCACGGTCACATGACTTCACGTCACCACCGGTAAGCTAAAGGTGGCTAATGTTGGGCTATAAAGGAACTAGAGCACGGTCACATGACTTCACGTCACCACCGCTAAGCTAAAGGTGGCTAATGTTGGGCTATAAAGGAACTCCAGCACGGTCACATGACTTCGCTTTAACCACAGACCTTATTTATGGATAACAACCAAAAACACAGTCAGTAACCATTAGTGCTGGGGGGAAACGATTATTTTGAAAACGATTAATCGGGCGATTATTTGATCGATTAGTCGACTAATCGAACGATTATTTTTCTGTTGTTCAATTCATAAAAAACGTAATGTAAAACGAAATTTTTTCACGATACTGTGTCTCAGGGGATCTTAATATTTAAGAACCTATTAATGTGTTATACCAGATTAACGGAAATAATCTCAGCTAACTGACGATACAAACCATAAACACAAAACACAAAACAAAACACAAGTCTCATAAGAAGCAAACTAAAATGCTATCTAAATGACCCCTGAGCGAAAAATGCTAACGGACATTGGCACAGAACTCAAGATAAAAGTACCCTTATTACTTATCGTAGCTGCACATACAAGATATCCGATTAAAGCTGAGACTCCACAGATTATGTAGGTATATAGTGTCATCACTGAGTGATCCGGACTCGCGACAGGGGAAGCAAATACAGTCATCACAACACGTACCTTCACAGAGCTTCTAGGGAGATCGTCTCACCGCCGTAGCTGTCAATCTGATCAAAATACGTGTTCAATGGCATTAAAATGAGAAAAAACGCGGCTGAATCGGTTAATCCATAGGTTTTTAACGTCTATGTATAAACAAATTATTGAATTTATAATCCATAATTCCATTTCTATGTAAAAATCGGAGAGCAAATGCTAGCTGCTAATGGTAGCCACCACAGCTAGCTGCTGCTTCCGGTCAAGCAGCAGTCTCAGTGAGATATAAATATATAAATATCTTTGCGTTTTGGACTAACTTTAAAATATTCCCATGCTTTTGAAGACCTAGGGCGAGATGTTTTCGTTTGAGGGCTTCGTGCGCAATCTTGTGAGGAGGAGGTGATAGCCGTTTCAGTCTCCATTTTGTGTTTGAAGTGCGATTGCGAACTGCTTGTTGCTTTGGGTGACCCACGTGTGTGTGGCGACCATATATACAGTCTATGGTGGCGACGCGTCGACGCGGAAATATGTCGTCGACGATATTTTGAAGTCGACGCGTCGCTACAGCACTAGTAACCATTGACCTCCAGACCAGGGGACAGGAAGTGATGTCAGGGTTCAGGACTCACCCACATGCAGAAGGCGGTCAGGCTGCGTCCGGCCCAGTCGCTCAGGTTGAAGAGGAGGAAGCAGCTGACGGGGATGAAGTATCGCTCTGAGGAAGAAACACCATATTATTCTTGTCTCTTTAAATAACTTGTGACGGACAAATACGACTTCCAGCATCAGAAACCATTCAACGTTAACGTTCTGTTGATATTACAACATTTAACTGGGACAGTTCATTACATCAGAGTCTAAAAGTGCCTGTTTGAAAGAGGAGGAACCCTGGATGACTCAGAGCCAGCCGACCAATCACAGGCAGTGTGATGAACTCATGAGACACCACAGAAGAAGAGACTGACCCCAGGACCCCCTGGCCAGCGTGGACTTGGTGTCGGCCGTGATGGCGGGGAACGTGCCGATGGTGACGGTGAAGGTGAAGCACACGGAGAGAGCCAGCAGCCAGATCTGAGGTCAGAGGTCACCGTTACATCAGACTAAATGTGTTATTTTAGATATTCAAAAACAAAATAATTCACACTTTTCTCAGAATTTTTAGAATGAAGTCAAAATTCTGACTTTGACTTCAGATTTCTGAAAAAAACATCTCTGGAATTTTTTCTCACTTTATTTTCAGAAATAAATCTGCATTCTGAGAATAAAGTAAAGCCTACACAAAAAAAATTGAAACAAAATTCTGTCTTTTGTTTAAAAATTCTGAAAAATAATCTTTTTAAATAAAGTCAGAACAGTTTAAACTTTATTTTAATGAAAACATTCTTTAGATTTTTTCTCAAAAACAATTCGCTAATTTCTAAATAAATCAAATCAAAATTGAGATTACATTTTGAGAATTGTGACTTTATTCTCATCCTGTGGCTTTAAGGCTCTTTGTTTCTGACCTTCTTAAAGATCTTTATTATGGAGACGTCCTGTTGGCCGCTCTGATCAGCTGACTTTCCATCGCTCTCTGAGGGGGACAGAAATACTGTTATTATTATTATTAATGTTTCTATTATTAGTATTATACAGAGTAAACAGAGTACCTGGGTTCATCAGGTTCACTGAGTTCTCCGGGTTCTGGTTCCGGTTCTTCTCCTGATAAAACTGGAAGAACTCCTGAAAACATGAAACAGGAAATATCAAATAAATATATGAATATATTAAAAGCACTCTGACGATGATACCGTTTATTTGATTGGATAAGTGCGTGTACCAGTTTGGGCAGCAGGATGTAGGAGAGGATGGACAGACAGATAACAACACAGGCTGTGATGAAATATCCAAAGGCTGCATCCTGCAGATCAGACCCACCTGAGAGAGAGGGATCGAACCGGCCCATCAGTGAGAGACAGTCGCTGACCCCCTGAGCCACAGATCATGTTTTATAAGATGTTTTATTTTGGTGTTTTATTCTAAAATACTTGCGATGGCGCAGATCATGGCGAAGGCGGCGAAGCTCCCTGCCATCCCCTGGCCGCTCATGATGGGCGTGGTGTACGAAGCCGGGAGCAAACCTGCCATCCCAAACAGACTGCCCTGCAGCACCGCTCCGAACGCTGTCAACAAACAAACAAATAAACAACAGACTGCCCTGCAGCACCGCTCCGAACGCTGTCAACAAACAAACAAATAAACAACAGACTGCCCTGCAGCACCGCTCCGAACGCTGTCAACAAACAAACAAATAAACAACAGAATGCCTGCAGCACCGCTCCGAACGCTGTCAACAAACAAACAAACAAATAAACAACAGACTGCCCTGCAGCACCGCTCCGAACGCTGTCAACAAACAAACAAACAAATAAACAACAGACTGCCCTGCAGCACCGCTCCGAACGCTGTCAACAAACAAACAAACAAATAAACAACAGACTGCCCTGCAGCACCGCTCCGAACGCTGTCAACAAACAAACAAATAAACAACAGACTGCCCTGCAGCACCGCTCCGAACGCTGTCAACAAACAAACAAACAATAAACAACAGACTGCCCTGCAGCACCGCTCCGAACGCTGTCAACAAACAAACAAACAAATAAACAACAGACTGCCCTGCAGCACCGCCCCGAACGCTGTCAACAAACAAACAAACAACCAAACAAACACACTAACACATAAATAAACAAACACACCATAACTCACAGTTGATGATGACGATCTTCACCATGGTGACGCAGAAGAAGGCGAGCGGCTCCAGAGGAACTCTGACGAAGACGGCGGTGGCGATGAACACGAACATGATGACGAGGAGACTGCCGAGCACCCGGAGGCGCTGAGACACTCTGGGGGGGAATACACAATGAGCGGGGGGGCAGAGCAGGAGAGGACTCTTTAAAGTAGAGACATTACATACTGATATACACCTGAACATCAGCAGGAGAGGACTCTTTAAAGTAGAGACACTACATACTGATATACACCTGAACATCAGCAGGAGAGGACTCTTTAAGTAGAGGACACTACATACTGATATACACCTGAACATCAGCAGGAGAGGACTCTTTAAAGTAGAGACATTACATACTGATATACACCTGAACATCAGCAGGAGAGGACTCCTTTAAAGTAGAGACACTAAATACTGAGTATACAACCTGAACATCAGCAGGAGAGGACTCTTTAAAGTAGAGACACTACATACTGATATACACCTGAACATCAGCAGGAGAGGAACTCTTTAAAGTAGAGACACTACATACTGATATACACCCTGAACATCAGCAGGAGAGGACTCTTTTAAAGTAGAGACACTTCATACTGAATATACACCTGAACATCAGCAGGAGAGGACTCTTTAAAGTAGAGACACTACATACTGATATACACCTGAACATCAGCAGGAGAGGACTCTATTAAAGTAGAGACACTACATACTGATATACACCTGAACATCAGGCAGGAGAGGACTCTTTAAAGTAGAGACAACTACATACTGATAGAACCACCTGAACATCAGCAGGAGAGGACTCTTAATGTAGAGACACTTCATACTGAATTACCCTGAACAGCAGCAGGAGAGGAACTCTTTAAAGTAGAGACACTTCATACTGATTATACACCTGAACATCAGCAGGAGAGGACTCTTTAAAGTAGAG